GATGAGCTACACCATATTAGAATGGGTTTGGTCTGATAATCCAAACTGATTGGGAAGGTAGTTACATTCAAAGAGATAAAACCAAAGGTGGGTATTGATCCATTTCCTTGAGGTTTGCTTATTCTGATGTGAAGGCTATTATGTAAAGTTGAAGGTGCATAATTTTTGTTCACCACTTTATTGCGGCAGTACTTGGATCACTCGGGGAGGACACAACATGCAAACACAGCCTTACAAAACCATGAAAAAACAATAGATGGAAACCTTGGTACCACGGCACTGCCCCTAAAAAGAAAAGAAGGAATAGGCTGCCCTGCAGTCAGGCCCAGACAAGTTATCAAAAGGTCCTACAGGTATTTGCTATCTTTTCCCCCAGGCTTTAATCCTTAATCAGTTTATAACCATAATTGCTTCTTATTCTCTGGGCTGTAAATCCACACTGGCATATAACAGATACTCCATCCAGTGACACATTGTCTGCCACTGCTTACTTTTAAAATATTTAACTTCTGCAGGCTACCTAGTAACCTGCTGGGTGTTGCCAAGGACCTGGGAAGGTTTTTAATTCTTAAGCAGACATGTGAAACTGAACCCCTTCTAAAAGGTCACATTTTTCAGGTAATCTAGAACATATCCGGGTATTGTAAATGCTTTTGTGGGGTATTTGACCTTGAAAATCAATCAGCAACATAAGAACCTAAACTGTATCAAGTATATATAGTGCCTAACGTGCACTTCTTTCCCAGGGTGTAGATTTGTACTGACTTTTGGTAGACTGAGCCCTGCGATTATGAGTCTGACCATCACATTTCTTCATCTTTGATGACACATTTCCATCCCACAGTTACTCAAATCACTATCTTAAAAATAAGAACCTGTCTTTCAAAATCCTGGGACAAATTCACATTTCAAAGGCTCATAACAAAAGCTATGTTATCTCCTGGCTCTCCAAGGGAAGATGCAGTAACTCTGCACTGACAGATCAGTGGGCTTCCTCAGACAACAAAGCCTTTATTTGCTTTACTAAGTTATGCCTTTTACATTCTGCTTCCTGTTTACTGTCCTTTCTGTTCATTTAAGGAAACTAGTATGAGTATACATAAAAATGTTTCAAAAGTAGGTGGTGCTCTCTCACCAGCTTCTCACCCATTCTCTGTGGGACTGGTAAATGTGAGCTGCAAGGATTGACATGCACAGTTTATTACTGACTAATTTGAGATCTTAACTATTGAAAGTGCTGAGTCCTCAAATGTCTTCTTGCTATGTTATCATCCTAAAGAGCAGTAATCATTTCTTTAAAAACACATGCCAAACTATGACAGATCTTCTGGTGCACAAACCATATAGACAGAAAGTTTTCCTGAATGGCAGGGAGGATCCTCACAAACGAAGCTCAGAGCAGGTGAAAAAGCATTTGCCTGAGTGGATCCCATTTGTCATCTACAGTACATATCCATATCCCCACATCCTCAATCAAGTTTTGTATTTCCTGTGTGAAGCAATGCAGCATATCACATCTCTTTGTCAGGTTTTTAGACTTGGAAGACGGCAAAATCAACTTTGGATGCTTTTGGCAGGTCATGCAGTGACAGCTGAAACATACAGCTCCAGCTTGGGGTTAGTCCAAGCTGAAAAATACTGATCAGCAGCAGAGGAGGCAGTTTGAGAGCTCAGGGAGTCACTGGGGTGTCCATCCTGTCCCTGCTCTTGTTGCCAAGGGACACGACATGCAGCTGCTAAAGGCTCCGGGACTCGTGGGGCAAATGCAGTTGGGCAGGAGCTGCCAACCACAGACTGGAGCAGCATGGCTCATCTGAGCCACAGACTCACCCAGGGCAGGACACGCACCAGGAAAGGAGCGGGCCCATGCTGGCAAAGGAATTGGAGCACCCTCTCATTTGCCTGTAACAAGCATGGGCATAGCAGGAACGCTGCGGCAAGAGGAGCAGCTCAGGAAGTGGCACTTAGTCAGTGGAAGGCCCCGCTGTGTAGAGATAACTCCTCCAATGGCTCTAGTGCAAGAGCAGCTGCCATCTCCCTGAAAGCAGCTCACACCTTGGCACATGTGCATGCAAGTATTTCACAGTTCTCATCACTTCCAGTTTACCAGGAAGGAGAGAAGGAGCTCAGGAAACACAGAAGAGCCCAGCTGTTTGTCAGGTGAAATGGGCAAAGCCAAAGCTGGCCGAGCCCCGTTTGCAGTCAGTCCCCAAGGATGAGGGACAATGCAGTCACTGACAAACATAAAAAAGTCATGATTTAGGAGGAGAGACTCAAGCAACAGTATGTCTGGGTCAAAAACAGAGGGAGAAGGTGATAGAAAAGGTTCTTCCCCTCTCTGCACTTACTCATTTTGGTTTGTGCCTCATGGTACCCACCACTTGGGTGAAAAACCTCACGTAACGGTCACACCTGCCCCTTAGTGCTTTACGGAGTCAGAACAAAACGGCAGGAAGACAGTCATTTCCTGAAACCTGAAAATGATATTCTGGGGCCAGCAGGTAGAGCAAAGCAATTGATGCCTGCCCATGGATAAAAGCAGTACTTTAGAATTCCTGACATCTCCTTTCCCAACTACTTTGGTCAAGATGCATGGTCTCATACTACTGCTGCTTAATTTAATAAGCAGTCACCCATGTTCACCAGCACATAAACGGTCACACAAAACAGAGCCAAGTAGAAACCCACTGTCATCCACATCCTGACATTAATTTTAGCCCTGCTCAGCAGTAAACTCTATTTATATAAATTTCCTGTGCTAGTGAGACTGAACTAGTTACATCCAGCAGGATCACTAGGGCTTGCTGTAAATCCCATGCCAGTATAATACTTAACAGTATTATCTCCTGCTTTAAACACAAAAGTATGAAGCCTGGCACTGCCTGATGTGTGTAGGGGCATTTGTGAGCCCAGGTGTCAGCAGGCTGTACCACAGTGCAGCCTGACCACACTCATTACAAGAGACCATGGATGGTATGTTTTCCTTGGCATCCTCCCTCTGCTCACTGCATGGAAGGGCAGTTTCCTCAGAGGCTCTTATTGCCATTCACTTAATTCTGTAGTCTAGGAAATCTCCCATTCTTCTAGACTTCAAAGACACTAAACAATTTCCCTTTTCCTGTTCCAAGGGGGATTGCTTTGTATGTGCCACATAATAACTCAAATTTTAGTATTTTTGAGAGGATAGAAGGATATGGTAAAAGTCAGTCTTACACACACAACCCCAAGTGAAAGCACACCTGTGCTCCTCAAGAGTGATGCTGTCCAGAACATGACATCACCCAGCCTCCCTGAAGGCCAACCCCAGCAATTGCAGCATATTTTGCTATTTTTGTGTTCTGGATGTTGCTTACCATGTCCACTCCATCAGCTCAGAAGCAACTACTGACACAGTCTTGCTTTCCCCTTGCTTTCCTCCCCACAGATCCTGCCAGCAGGAATTGGGTGGGCAACCAACTGCTCCACCATGCAAGGCCTGGAGGACCAGCCTCGTACTGCTTATGTGCACCAGTCTTGCCAGCACATCACCAGGAGCATGGGGTTGCAACATGTAATGCCTGTGAAACAGGCCAAACATGTGCCTGCAATGTATGTGTGGAGGGTGCTGTTCTGCGTCATGCAGGGTGTGCTGAGGCACTGCTGCAGGGAAAGGCAGAAAAGGACTGTGGCATGGTAAGTGAATGTTCTTTCGTGAGTAGCTGGCCACAGCTTGAATTTCACTCATCTGAATTACAGGGAGTGACCAAAGGCAACAAGGAGCTATAAACCCAATGACACTATACATCATAGAATGGTCTGGGATGGAATGGAACTTTAATGGTCACCTAGTCCAAGCCCCATGCCACAGGGACACCTTCAATGAGACCAGGCTGCTCAGAGCCACATCCAACCTTGAACACTTCCACGGATGGGGGCATCTACCTGGGCAACCACCCTCACTGTAAAAAACCCATCATCCTAAGACAGGGTTTTAGTTTTAAATAGGGGAGCCTCTTTTCAGGGGGCTCGCACCAGCTTAGGCATGGTGACAGCACTGCTTACAGTCACCTGGGTCCCTGGCTCCTGCTGCACTGCCCTCGTCACTTGCTTTCCACTTCCTCATCACATCGCCCTGAGGGTCACGGAGGACCCAACACAACAGCAAGACTACAGCAGCATTCGGGGCAAGCAACAGGGGTGTTCCTTGCCACAGTCAGGGTTTGAGCTGCTTCCTGAGCCTGACACCCTGCACCCCGCTTTCACCTTCCGGCGTGAACAGGGAACCAAGGCCTCGCGGCCGGGTTGGACACACGGCAGCTGCAAGAATGCAGGAGCCAGGCGGCCGGTCACGGCAGGGGATTGCTTAGGCCAGCACTGCACCCCAGAGCACCCCTTGCACCTCAGGGTCCGGGCATCCCACACCCCCCGCCCTTCTACTTCCCAAGGGGCCCCGGGCGCCAGTGGGGGACTGCTGCCCCGAGCCCAACGCCAGCCGAAGGTGCCAGAGCTCGCACACCCGCGGCACCCCGCAGACTCGGCTCAGCTGCAGCCGGCTCAGCTCCCTCATCTCTGCGGCTTTAAGACGCGCCCCAGCGTCCCCAGCCCGCTTCTGCTGACGTGTGATCGCGTGGCGCCTCTCCCCACCAAGGCCCCGCCCCACAAGCTTGCCCGCACGCGCAGTGAGGGCGGCAAAGACCGGCTCCGTTCTGCGCATGCGCAGCAGCGGCAGAGGCGGCAGCCCCACCCGAGCTGCGGGGCGGAAGGGCTGGATCGGCTAGCGCGCGCAGGGCCTCCATGGGCAGCGGGAGGGACGGCCCCACCCTTCTACGCATGCGCCTTTCTGCGCTGGAGGGGAGGGGCTCCGGCCGTGGCCGCCGCGCAGGCGCAGTTCCTTCCCGAGGCCGCGCGGGAAGAAGGATGGCGCGAGCTGCCCGGGGCGGAAGTGGGCGGGTCTTCCGCGCTCCGCGCCCCCTGCCCCTCCCTCCCCTCGGCGCGTGCGCGGGCGGTGGCTGCAGCGGGTGGCGCCGTTGGGCGGCTCGGGGCGGGGGCGGTGCGCGCAGGCGCGGTGCTGGCGGAGGGGAAGTGAGGCGGGCTCGCGCGGCGCCTTTTCCGGCGGTGCTGGCTGAGGGAGCGGCGCGCAGCGGAGCCGGCCCGAGCCCGCGGGCGGCCCTCAGGTAACTGCTGCCGGTTCCCTTCCTTCCTCCGTTCCGCCGCGCGCCTCGTCTCACGCTCTTTCCGTCTCTTTGCAGGCAGGACGCGGAGCCGCCGCCCCTGAGCCGGCATCCATGAGCTGAGGTGCCGGGGCGAGAGCCAAGGCAGGAGCCGGGCGGAGCCGCCGCCTCAGGCCCGGCGGAGGAGCGGAGCGTGGCGCGGCTCCTCTTCCGACGGCGCCCGGGCTTCACCGCCTCGCCAAGCCTCACCACCCTTCCCGCCCCGCTTCTTCCGCAGCCGCCCCATGCGCGGCCGGCGCTGAGCCCCGCCTGCCCTTGCCCCGACACTCTCCTCCCGCGCGGACCGGCCCTGCTCCGCTTCGGCCCCCGCCCCGCGCGGGCTGCTCGGGAGGGTCGGCGTTAGCCCTCCTCTCCCCCACCCCGCACCTCGGAGGCGCCGGGCCCCTTGGATGCCGCCGAGATGGGCAAGGTGCTGTCCAAGATCTTCGGTAACAAGGAGATGCGGATCCTGATGCTGGGTCTGGACGCGGCTGGTAAAACCACCATCCTGTACAAACTGAAACTGGGCCAGTCTGTCACCACCATCCCCACCGTAGGCTTCAACGTAGAGACGGTTACTTACAAAAACGTCAAGTTCAATGTGTGGGATGTCGGGGGCCAGGACAAGATCCGTCCCCTCTGGAGGCACTATTACACGGGCACGCAAGGGTTGATCTTTGTGGTGGACTGCGCCGATCGTGACCGCATCGACGAGGCCCGCCAGGAGCTACACCGCATTATCAACGACAGGGAGATGCGGGACGCCATCATCCTCATCTTCGCCAACAAGCAGGACCTGCCTGATGCCATGAAACCCCATGAAATCCAGGAGAAACTGGGCCTGACCCGAATCAGGGATAGGAATTGGTATGTGCAGCCCTCCTGTGCTACTACGGGGGATGGACTTTATGAAGGGCTGACATGGTTAACATCCAATTATAAATCCTAATGAGAGAACAACTATTTAGTCTACAAAGAATTAAAGAAAAAAAAAATAACCCACATGGCTTTCCAGAAGAATGATTCTCTACTGAAAAGTAAAACAAAAGCATCCATAGGATTATGATCAACTTTCTCCAGTTACCACCCTTTCCTTCTGCAGTCACGACTTGGATGGTTTCCTGTTTTAACTCTTGTTGCTCACGACTTGACTGGATTCCTGTTTTAACTCTTCTTGCTTGGCGTTAGGATGCTCTAATCTCCGAATGTGACATGAACGCAAGCACTAGATGCTATGGCAGACTTCCAGCAAACAGGGGAAAGACACATTGTAGACTTGCTAAGTAACCTTTTTTTTTGTGTTTTCCTCTTCATAGCCCTTAAGATGGTTTGATTATTTTGGGGATGGTTGGGGGAGGGGTGCCATTTTCAGTGTATGCTTTCTGGTTCTACTTTTTTGATTATATTTTTTTTTCTTCTGTCACTTGCTGTAGATTGCTACTTTTTTGCATTCATGCAGAATATGTTGATAGGTCTGCATCATCTAGTAAACTGAAAATTATTGCTTAAAATCAAACTGCAGTCTGTCTTTTTATATTAAGGACTTTTTTAAAAAAAGTTCTGTTAACCTGCAAGTAGATAGTGACTCTCAGCCTGTCTTCACATCTCAGACTACTAATGAAACGAATCCTTGCCTCAGTGGCAGGTAGTGAGAATACCATTGTAACATGTTCAAAGTGCATATCAAGCATAATGTTTGCTAGGTAATGTAAGAACTGCTTTGAAATGTCAGCTGTGAAGTTCTGAACCATACATCATGCATGAGAAAGGATGCAAATAAGTTCCCCATACTACATAGCAATCATATAGCAAATAAGACATGAATGATGTAATAGTTCCAGGGTAGATACTGTTCAGTTTTCTTCTTGCATTGCAGACTTAAGCAATGTTTAGCTGCAGTTTTTACTACTCATGTCAGTCTCCAATTCAGTGCAAGATAGGTTCCTTCCAGAAAATGCAGCAATAACATGTAAGTGTTGAAGCAAGTTTTACTTCAAATTGCAGATGTTTAGGCAAAAATCTAGTAATGACTTGCCTGTCTTGTGATCAAGACAAATGGCTTTCATCTCAAGGCAGCTGAAGACATCTAAATATTAAAAGGATTTCTCATTCTTTCTGGCATGCACATAGCAGAGAAGATTTGGTTTGGATTTTTTTTTTTTTTTCCATTTTGTAGATTTGTGAAGGGGCAAGTTCCGTGCTCAGCTTTAGTTGAGCTCAGTAATTCTGACATCTGAATAATAACCATTTCAAGGAAATAGTTACTGGTTTAGTTTTCCAAGACTTGACTGAACTCGTGCAAGTAGTTGCAGTCTTTGCCATCTGTCTCAGTTGTTGCTGTAGTCCTGTAGGAAGGGAACTATGTTGGATGTCTGCAGCCCATTGAGTAGCTGCTAATGAGAGCTGGGAGAGGAGATAGTATATGACTATGAATGTAAACTTCCATAATTAGTTCTTAAAGGGCAAACAGCTCATTTGCCATATCACAGTTTGCAGATGTGACTGGCAAAAGAACCCACCCAAAACAAGTATTAGTATAAAAAAATCAAGTATTAATGCTGGGTGCAAAAAATGTTAAAGCAGCTGGTTCTTATTCAGCCTTAAGGATTAACTTCACATTTCCTCAAGGAGTTAAACTCAATTGGGGAATTCTAGGAATGTATGCTACAAAACCAGAAGAAAATGGCTTTTTTTTTTTTCCCCAAGGATACAAGTTTTACATGAAATTGGGGGCATTACACTACATTTCTGCAGTGTTCACTCTGCATGCTAAGTACATTGTATATGGAGCTCTTACCAAAGATGTATGGGAAGATAACAATACTGAATTCACTTCTGAAATGGAATGCTTTGGACCACTTAAAAGTTCATTTAGAATATGGTTCCAAAAGACTTACCTTGATGTGGGTTGCAAATGGGACTGAATGGGTTCTTGACACTGGAAGACAGAGCATTGATTGACTGTAAGCCTTTGTGAGTTAGAGTCTGCTAAAGATTGATGTGGAATAACTCTTCAATATCAGCTTTGAAGAAGAGGAGGTGAGGGATTTTTTCCACTCAAGGCTTTTTGCCGTTGGAGTATCATTGCTCTATTTTCTAGCTGCCTTTTTTTTTTTTTCTTTTTTTTTTTTCTGTTGGTGTAACTTAACAAATAGTGTGGTGGTATAAAGACTAAAAATACAAGAACATCGTTACTATTTTCTTCTGGAGCATAAATAAAATAGCCAAGCACAAAGTAAATGCCTAAACTGGAAAACTTGAAGCTGTATTAATGGTTCTTGAACTTTCTTAAATCTATCCTCAGTCAACATGGAAACTTCAATAACTTCATTCTTCATCTAAGTTGATTTACTACATTTTCAAGTGCTGGGGCAGACTTCTTTGCTAGACTTTGCATTAAGTTGAATTCACAATTTTGTATTTCCTTAGTAACTTTGTTAATCTGTTTTTTAGGTGAAAGGAAACTGATTATGCTTCTGATTTTTTTTTTTTTTATGTCTTTTTTGGGGGCAATGGTGGGGGAGAAAAAGTTACTGAACCATGTGGCAGAGACATCAAAAATAAATGGCCATTGCTACTGAACAAAGTATAAAGGTTTCACCTTCAACATGTTCTTTATAGGTTGTAGCTGAACCTCACCACGAACTAGTGGCTCTCGGGCAGTGAACATAGCCTGTAGGATCAAGTGGCAATCTGTAAGAAATCCTACGATTTAAAAACTGATCTGGAGTTTAAAATGCATCAATCAATTTGTGTTCATGTGAATTTATGGAGTAAGTTTTGAATGGCGTTAATCATGTCTGATAAGTGAATGAGTCTGTAGACTGTGATCTCCCTGACTAAAGTAAACAGGAATTTTGTGTTCTCAATATGGCTGTAGTGTTGGTAAAGAACTAATAAGCAGAAAATAAAGCAATTATACAGCGGAGCTCTCCTGGTATGTTACTTACACTTAATTATGAGAGAAACAGAAAGGGGCAATATGGTGCTGGCGTAGAGTGTTCTACCAGCATAAAGAGGTCTCTGTTCTGTATCTCACAGTTTTGAAAGCCTGTCTGTAATTCCTTTGAGACTTAGAGTAGCGACTGTTTTTATAAGTGGAAAGGATGATACTTCCTTAATACTCCCACTTGCAGTTAAAAGTCTTTAGCAAACTAGCATTGGATTTATGCTGCCTGGGCACTGGCCCTGTGTAAGTTGGGCAGGTGGCAGCTCTGTGAGGGCACAGAGGGACGGTCAGTGAGCGGGACAGTGCTGTGTTTCACAGGAGAAATGACTTGGTCGGAAAGGGAAGATGTTAGGCCAGTGTAGAAGATGCAGCAATTGACAGAGGGGTCAATGAGTGAATAGGGGTGAGTGGAGTGACAGACGTGGACTTGGGATGTCTTTGGTACCTGAATAGGATGTAAGTGGGCAGGTAAAAGGACTTTGGCAGGTGCAGTGGGGAATGCTTGGGGGGGGGGGGGGCAGGACCTGAGCAGCAGGCTGGGTGTATGCAGCAGGCCATGGTTCCTGCAACAGCTGCCAGTCTGCAGGCCTAAGGAAGGGCAGTGGAGCACCAAGAAGCACCCACTGACCACAGCCCAAAGCTGGGCTGTCAGGAAAGGGCTTTGCAGTCAGAGGGCATGGTAGAGGGTTTGAGGGAACTCCTAGCTGGAACTGTCTCCTTGTTGCAAAGCTGTCGAGAATTGCCAGGAAACATTTTTCAGCCAGGTGGGAGTACCTGTATGCATGTGCAGGGTGTCCACCGCAGCTATGATCCTCTGCAAAGCCCTTTCTTCAGGGTACTGAGGCTGGGCTCTGTCTACCTGAATGTCAGTTAAGGGTGTGGCTGTGTAAATGAACTTACTCTGACTTAATTAAACTACTTGGAGTTTGGAGACAAAGCTCCAGAAGAGTAAACTCATGTCTCTTCCGTTGTAGTAGTCATTTTTCAAAATGTCAGCACTCACTGTTTTAAATCGGACCTTTGTCACAGCAGCAGTTAGCGTGACTCCGGAGAGCACCCTTCCTGAATGGCACCGTGACTCACGCTGCAGCAGGGCTTTCCTCCCCCAGTCACAGGCCTCTGGTCCTCGTAGACAGGGCTTGGAAAAAATATGCCTGCCATCCCTAATTGGAAATTAACCCTGCCAATATGATAGTGCTCCCAAAGGAATGGCTCTCGGTTTAACAAAAATATAATGAATTGCATAGTCAAAGCAGCTGGCCACAAGATCCGTGGTAGCTGGTTTCTCTGATGGACCCTGAAGTGTTATTTCCCGTGTTGCAAATGGGAGAAGTGACTGCCCAGGGTGGAGATCTTGTTCTGGAGTGTGGAAGCAGCCTTGGTGTGGGCACTGTGACTTCCTGCTAATGCATGGTTGTGCTTTTTATCTTGGATTTGTTCCTAATAACTGTCCAGCCTGGAATCACCTTGGCTTTGGTGCTTTCTGGAGAATAAAGTTTTACCCTCGCTTTGTGGGGAAGTGTCAGTTTTCAGGGGCTGTTGGTGAGTTAGTGTCATCTCCGCTTACTAACTCTTCCTCTTCCTGAGCACGACACTGGCACCAGTGCTGCTCAGGTCTGTGTTTCAGAGTTAATGTCTGAGCAGACATGCTCAGGATTTAGGGCCAAGGTGGATGACTTGAGCACCACAGGCAATCTCACTTTCAAACTTTGGAGCACCGCAGAGTAATTTTAGCCCTACCATCAGTTCTGAAGGGGTGAAGTGGGTGAGTCAGAGCCCTGTGGAGCTCAGCAGCAGTGAGGGGTGCGTCCCCAAGAAGCGCCTGCCGGGAACTTGTGTGAAAGGCAGCTTTTTATAGGCAGTAAGCTGGGTATGTGGTGTATTGTCCAGGAAGTCGCTTTTCTCTTGCTTAAGAACAGGTATCTCTGGCCTCCTTAAACAAAGGGAAGGGAGGAAAGAAAAAAGTAAGATGTGAGTCATCTGCTGAGCTCTCCAGGCTGAGTCTCACAGGGGTTTAACAGGCTCTGGCCTTTGCTCTTCGCCTCAAGAGAAGTGTTTTCCCTTCCAGAGTATGCACTTTGCTCCTCTGTTACTGGCTGCTTTAGTCGGAGCTCCTAGGACAGCACTAGTTAGAAAAATACTTAAGTATAATTTAATGGGTATCTGGTTTGGAGAGATGGAGATTGATAACGCTTGGAGATTGATAACACTTGAAACACCTTCCTTTCCTTAGGAGTATTCAGATGAGGGGGTTCTGCCATCAACTCCTGGCTCAGTGTAGGTACCCCTTGTCCCCCAGCTGCCTTTCAGAGTTGGTG